AAGATTTTAGACGAAGGACAATTTATAGTTTATATAAGGAGAACAGGGTTCCAACATTGGAAGTAATACAGCAAAAGGTAGCAGATTTTCCAGGATACACTTATAGCAGTTTGGAAACATTGCGTCAAGTTTTGTCAGCATGTGGTTTTAAACACAAAAAAATGAATAAACGGATGGCAATCACCAAATCGTCAAGGATAGTTCAATGGCGACAAGATTATTTGCGTCAGATAAAAGAGTACAGAAGTTCTAATAGACACATAATTTATCTAGATGAAACATGGTTTGACAGTCACGATGTAGTAAATTTCGGTTGGGTTGACAGTAGTAAAAATTGCTGTTTGAATGGGCCATGTTCTAAAGGGAAACGTATTATAATAGAACACGCTGGAAGCAAAGACGGTTTCGTGCCTAATGCTTTATTATTATCTGTTAAACAAACTAAAAACTGTGCAGCTGATTATCATGAAGATATGACAGCAGAATTATTTGAAAAATGGTTTAATGAACAGCTCTTACCTAACATTCCACCAGTCAGTAATCGTTATGGACAACGCATCCTACCACTCACGGCAACTCCTTAAAATACCAAATAGTAGCAGTAACAAAGCTCAAATTTTAGCGTTTATGTCTGAAAAAAATATTCCTATTCCTGCCAGTGATCGTAAAAAAGGCCCAACAAACAAAGAATTGCTTACTGTTATTAAAGGCATGAAGTTGGAAAAAATTTATTATATTGACAAGCTGTGCAAAGAACAGGATCATACTTTTCTCAGACTACTGTCTTACTATTGCATATTTAACCCTATAGAGTTAATATGGGCAAAGTAAAATCAGAATTACGAAAATGTAATCAGTCTCCAGAACTGAGTAAAGAGGTTGTAGAACTCGTAAAGAAAGTTCTAGCAGCAGACCGCCAAGAGCTTTAAAAAAAAAACTGCGTCGAACATGTTATTAAAGAAGAAGATGAGTATGTAGTATTACCCTCTTTACAACCCATCATAATTCAACCAAATGATGACTCTAGTTCAAAGGATTCAGACTGCCATGATTGTTTATAAAGATACTTTAGAATGGAATTGTTTTTTTTCTTTTGTTTTATTTGCAAATAATTTATTTTCCTTTATGGTTTTTGCTTTGAAATTTCGTTTTCCAGAAAAAAAAAAACGAATGGGGTACAAAAACGGCTCAGTTCACGTCTGGTACCCTGTTTAAACCAAACGCCCTTACAGGCAGGTACACTTTACTCGCTTTTTTACGTTTTATAATTTAATATTCAGTTGTAGCAAGTTAACGAGCTATAATAATTTTTTTTAAGTACAAGTAAGACTACAATTAAGTGCATCTGTCTAAATCAAGGCGTATAATAACGTCCAATTTATAATGATTCGATTTCCTTTTAACGAATACTTTCTTGCATATGATATATATTAAAAGTATTTATAAAATGAGGTAGGTATCTACGCCTATGGCAGATCAAACAAAATTGTCGGTAAAGGTTCCGAACGAGTTTTTATGTTCTGCAATTGATAATGGAAGAACTATACCTTGATATTATTTATGATAACAGGGACTGGACATGCGGATGTATGTCATTGTCGCTTCTTCGTGATCTTTACCTAAAGCCTTTATAGCAGTATTGGCAGCAAAGATGTCTTTGCTGTCATTAAATCAGGAGTATCACTGATGTACAATAGGAAGATGACTGGCCCTAATACCTAATATATTGCCCTGTGGTACTACTGTTTTAATTTCCTTCAGTCCAGAGAAATGAATCGTCTTTCTTTAACTGTAAAGACCCTATTCGAATAAGAATGCGGAAAAAGACAGGCTTAAATTCCGAACTAACTATATGGGTTCTACGGCGTAGTGGCATGGGTTACTAAAACTTGCAATCGCCAGCCTAAGTATCACAGGCTATTACACCATTTTCGGCGATGGAGGTATAGTTCTTCCATTATCAATTACAGAACATAAAAACTCGTTCGGAACCTTTACCGACAATTTTGTTTGATCTGCCATAGGCGTAGATACCTACCTCATTTTATAAATTTATTTTATAAATACTTTTAATATATATCATATGCAAGAAAGTATTCGTTAAAAGGAAATCGAATCATTATAAATTGGACGTTATTATACGCCTTGATTTAGACAGATGCACTTAATTGTAGTCTTATTTGGACTTAAAAAAAATCATTATAGCTCGTTAACTTGCTACAACTGAATATTAAATTATAAAACGTAAAAAAGCGAGTAAAGTGTACCTGCCTGTAAGGGCGTTTGGTTTAAACAGGGTACCAGACGTGAACTGAGCCGTTTTTGTACCCCATTCGTTTTTTTTTCTGGAAAACGAAATTTCAAAGCAAAAACCATAAAGGAAAATAAATTCTTTGCAAATAAAACAAAAGAAAAAAAAAACAATTCAATTCTAAAGTATCTTTATAAATAATCATGGCAGTCTGAATCCTTTGAACTAGAGTCATCATTTGGTTGAATTATGATGGGTTGTAAAGAGGGTAATACTACATACTCATCTTCTTCTTTAATAACATGTTCGACGCAGTTTTTTTCCAAAGCTCTTGGCGGTCTGCTGCTAGAACTTTCTTTACGAGTTCTACAACCTCTTTACTCAGTTCTGGAAACTGATTACATTTTCGTAATTCTGATTTTACTTTGCCCATATTAACTCTATAGGGTTAAATATGCAATAGTAAGACAGTAGTCTGAGAAAAGTATGATCCTGTTCTTTGCACAGCTTGTCAATATAATAAATTTTTTCCAACTTCATGCCTTTAATAACAGTAAGCAATTCTTTGTTTGTTGGGCCTTTTTTACGATCACTGGCAGGAATAGGAATATTTTTTTCAGACATAAACGCTAAAACTTGAGCTTTGTTACTGCTACTATTTGGTATTTTAAGGAGTTGCCGTGAGTGGTAGGATGCGTTGTCCATAACGATTACTGACTGGTGGAATGTTAGGTAAGAGCTGTTCATTAAACCATTTTTCAAATAATTCTGCTGTCAAATCTTCATGATAATCAGCTGCACAGTTTTTAGTTTGTTTAACAGATAATAATAAAGCATAAGACACGAAACCGTTTTTTTTTCCCAGCGTGTACTAGTATAATACGTTTCCCTTTAGAACATGGCCCATTCAAACAGCAATTTTTACTACTGTCAACCCAACCGAAATTTACTACATCGTGACTGTCAAACCATGTTTCATCTAGATAAATTATGTGTCTATTAGAACTTCTGTACTCTTTTATCTGACGCAAATAATCTTGTCGCCATTGAACTATCCTTGATGATTCAGTGATTGCCATCCGTTTATTCATTTTTTGTGTTTAAAACCACATGCTGACAAAACTTGACGCAATGTTTCCAAACTGGTATAAGTGTAACCTGGAAAATCTGCTACCTTTTGCTGTATTACTTCCAATGTTGGAACCATGTTCTCCTTATATAAACTATAAATTGTCCTTCGTATAAAATCTTGGGTAGCTCTGTCAACTGATTTCAGTTTTTCTTTACATGTTTTTCGGTTTTGTGAATGATCCACAGCAACCCCTTTTGTGACTACCCGATAAATGGAAAATTTATTTACTTTAGTTAATTCAGCAATTCTTATTATGATCGCATTATCAGACTGCTGAATGTTTTCCTTTTTTAAACATTGGAATATATTTAAAATAACTTGTTGTGTTTGTATATCTAAATCCTTATTGTTAAATTCATACCTGTCTTTAATCTCACTACATTGTGCAATTTCAGTTTCTTCATTCGCCCACGGTCTAAAGAACGTCATATTTATATTTATTAAAAGAAATTTAAATTAAACCAACCACACAGTACTCCACTGATATCGCAGACTGTCTTCCAGGAATATTTTCGAACACTCCTCCCCTTCGTAAACCTTCGGCCAATACAGTGCATTTAAGTTTACGATTCGATGTTTTCATTGGTTAACAATGGAGATGATTGATTTTGACACATATATATCAAGTACACGTTGACTGACCGTTCCTTTAATATTTACCGCATTGTATAAGGGGAGTAAACATTATTTTTCGTTTCTAAATTTGGCATGAGTACCGTGCGTATATATTAAATATTGATGATTCCCCACATAACTGTGTTCTGCAATTGATATTGGAAGGACTATACCAATAAACCTCAAATCAGTGCACATTTTTATGCAAGGAGAAACCAGGTTCGTCTTTCCCAAGATAATTCATGGGCCAAATCCCATTAGCCAATTGCATCGCGTTAATCAAGGCTATACCAGCAAGTAAAAAAAGCATAAGACTCTATGCATGTCACTTTTAAATTTGAAAGAAATTTAAGTCCAAATATCAGCCCGATACTATTAGAAACTATTAGATACATGTTGAACTAATCTGGTATATAGACAGTTCAAAAACCAATGAAGAAGTCGGTGCTGGAATCTTTGGCCCTAGTCGAAATCAACATTTTTAAACAGTGTTCTAGGTCGAACTAATAACCATGCAAAACTGTGCAAGAGAAATAATAAATCAGTAAGTATCAGGTAAAACTATTACATCTTGTGTCAGTGTGACGGTCTGACTAAATTGAGGTGTCTAACACTAGGCGAATAGAACCTAAAAGTATGTAACCAGGAGCCACTGTCAAAGATACTAAGTCTAACAAAAAAGACCAGGCTAGATGATAAATATACTCTGAATAACGGAGTCCCAGAATAGATCTGAAAAGGTCGCTGTGGATAAGGACAAATGTTTAACCTGCAGAATCTAATCTAGTGAAAGTATTTTAATATATATATATATAGCACTTTTAAAAACAATAACTATATATTTCTTAATTACCGTTTAAAATTAAATTATTGTGTATAAAATGGTATGGCGGTAATGAAGCATATCGCGCTTCGCTATGCAATTTACTATTGTTTACTTGTTATGAAAAACGAATTTCGCTACGATAACGATACAAAATTGCACGATCCTTTTTGTTTCAGGTCTGACTCGATCTACACCTTACGAAGATCTGCTCCGCCGCCGCTATGGAGGCGGCTGTTGTGCGCGTTGATCCGCCGTTCGCCCAAAAACGATCCCGAGGAACGGTACCGCGTCGTAGTGCCCAACCATATCGTGCCGCCGAAAACGCCCCGCAAGGAACATCCGAACGGTCGAAGGCCGGACAACGGCATCAGGACTACGAAATACACCCTCCTCTCGTTCCTACCTAGAAATTTACTCGAACAATTCCACAGAGTCGCGAATTTGTATTTTATTTTTATTGTTTTGCTAAATTGGTTTCCCGCCATAAACGCGTTCGGTAAAGAAATTGCTATGGTGCCTGTGATGTTCGTGCTCGGGGTGACTGCCGTCAAAGACTTATTCGAGGACCGTAGGAGAAATACTAGTGATAAGAGAATCAATAATTCCACTTGTAGGATATATAACAGGTAAGGTATTTTTTGATTCAATCTTTGGACTCCTCCGCACTCCCCCTCCATTCTAGTATCCTCGTTAGCTTTCAGGAACTCCTTTATCGTTCAATCGTGGCTACCATGCTTTAATTGCATTCCCCAAAGCCTATTAGGCATTCTAAACAAATGAACTGCCAGCGGGAAGATTTGGTGTATCTAGAAGGGTTGCGACATACAATGTATTCTGTCTACAATTTTTTCATAAATTGGCAGGCTTGGCAACTACTATTTCGAACTTAGATGAATAGACTATGCCGCTACCTCCTCAGATATACCAGACCTTCCCACTGGCAGCTATTGTTTGACAGGTCGTTGGAATGTCTAACTAGGCCGTCAATTTGAAGTCGTACTGTATTACTGTATACTACTCAATTACTCCATATTTATGTTATAGTCCTTCCAATAGGCATAAATAGTGAACGCCTTGTATGTAAAAACACTGGAAATTATTAAAAAGTTACGAGGGAATATATCTGGGAGGTGGGAAGGGATTTACTCGAGTCGTCAACGTAGGAACATAGGAAAGAAAATATTGAAAATCACATTGATTCTCAACAATTTTAAATAAAAAAATAGACTGAGTTGATTTCAGCTTGTCAATATGAATTTTATAGTTGGGATTCCAAAATTACCGACGCATGCAAACTCTAACTTAGACAATATTTATAAACTGATCTCAGGTGAGTTTGACTCAGCTGAGTCGTCCTTGAATGAAAATCAAAGTTCGGTTATAAACTCTCTTGAGTTACAGGTGGTTCCAGTGTTGCATTGAAATTTAGAGATGGACATTAGCAATTCTGTAACTGTTAAGTACATTTACCGATTTGTTACTACCCATCTCTAAATTCACGTGATATAACTGAACTTCGATTTTCGTTTAAGGACGACTCAGTCAAGTCTGACTCAACAGAGATCGGTTTATAAATATGGGCCTTAGAACCAATGAACGCGAAATAATGATGTTTGAGAGTAAAAATATCTGTTAAAATCTGGATTATACCCATTCATAAGAACCGTTAGCAGGCAACATAATATTTTCGACGTGATCTACAAATGCAATTTTATGATCAAATGTTATCTAGATCTTTAAATTATCTGGATATTACTGCTGTCAAGAATGTAATTAAAATTTATTTCAGACCTAAAGTATAAGACATCACATCAACACTTTTACATATTAAGAGGTTAATTTTTTAACATGCATTTTTCGCTGATATTAGTTAAGTTTTCCTGCAGTAATTAACAATCATTAACATCGGAAATTATATGAAATATTTTCATATCATCCGCATATAACAATGCATTGACACTAATACACTCAACGATGTCGTTAATAAAAATATTAAAGAGAAGAGGACCAAGATTTGAGCCTTGGGAATCTCCAGAGGTTCCAAAATATTTGTCCGACCTGTGACCACTATTATTATTTGCCGTGGCGCTCCGGGGCGACTTAAAGATGATTGATGGTGCCATTTGACTTACAGGTGAGGAAAACCTCACCCACCATCATCGAGACGGTAATGCATGGCGATTTTATAATCTGCATGTCATATCAACAGAAATTGAATTTCTATTAATACGGCACACATCAAATCCTATACCGAACCATGCAATTTAATTAAAAATCCACACGGTCTGGTCTGGGATTTGAAATCCGGCAGTCTCGGACCATAAACTTGCCTATAAATGCATATAAGCGCGTTAGACTGCTACACCACCGACCCGACATGATTGATAAGAATAAAACAGACGTGTGAGGCTCGATGAAAATCCACTTTTGTTTAGTTTGTTTAATAATATGACATGGTCAAGTATGGCGAATACTTTTTAGAAATATGTTTATACAAGAGTGGTTTGACAAGTCAGTGAGTTTTTGAATAAAATATTTTTTTTGGCAAATAAACGTTTTATCTCTCAACATCTACTTTTAGCTCGATACATTTAATCCAGCGTTTTTATAAAACAAATTTTTTTATTACTTCTAAATAATGTTTTCTCAAGGCCTTCAAAATAGAGGTTTGTTTCAGTGATGATTTCTTCATTCGACCCACATCTCTTATCACTCAGCTATTTCTTCAGGTTTAGAATTAGAAATAAGAAATAGTCGCAGGTGCTAATTTTCTAATGTTACATTATGGCCCTACACAATATATTTGTGATACGTCTATGTTGTGTTAATAAACGCCACGATACACAGACTGTATGCCTTTCCATTCAAATTTTGTTCGAACCGCGCAATGACTTAATGCGGGACGGACTTAAAACGTCGTTTTGATGTTTTTCGACTGACAAGTGTAAAATAATTTAATAATTTATTTATTTGTGTTAGTAGTGTGACTATATTTTGCTAAACATAAGAGAAGAACTGAATTAATGGTAAAAGTTATGGACCGTACAGTGGCGACTTGTTAAATCCATAATATGAAAACTACTAAAAGTAGTGATATACGATATTTTCGATTTCCACAAAATTTTGAAGAAAATTATGAGGACATTTTTATTTGACAAAAGCCATTTTGTATATTAAGAAGAATAAACACTTTCTGATGAAATTATCAATCTTATGGAAAAATTTGAAGTATTGAGAAGCCTTAAAGGTTCATTGATGGATATGAAGCTTCTTAATTTAAAAATAAATATCAAACTTTGAGAATTCCCACAAAGCAACTAAATATTTCAGAGACTCCTCAGTGGTTGCAAACATTTTAGAATGGTTCATTAATTAACCCTGTACAAGAATTATGGAAAGTTGGGCAAAAAATGGAAAGTGAATTCCAACAGATGCATATGACCTCATTAGAGATAAAAACATTTTTGAAATTTTAGCAGATTAAACTGTAGCTTCATGTCCTTTTTGAAGTAATCCTAGGCATGAATAGAACACGAACATAATTGATTATTTTCCGAATTATCATAATTTTTGCGCTAAAATAGTATATTTAAATTTACCAATTTTAAAAAGTAATTTTCGTAAACTTACACTTTTTGAAAATAAATAATTTGTTTCTGGACACATACCTATTTTATTTCACATAATAAGAGACGAGATGGTAGGAGTAATTTAGTAAAGTATTTTTAATCTATATTCTGTACTCATGTTCTGTGCTTACCTTATGACTATAATTTATAGGATTATTCACGTTAAACCTTTAAATTTTTAAACAAAAATATATTACAAAATAAACCAGAAAGCTTAAGTAACTAAATAAAACTAAAAAAGCAAACACTATTTCCCATATAATGCTAACAAATCTACGGCCTACGTGACGTCACCGCAAAGAACATACCGTGAATCTGTATAAACGCTAGTTATCCTTGATTAGTATTTTGGCCAATACCTACAACTTATTTGCAGCCAAACGAGAATATCCAGTTACAACAGCACATTTTTGCGCCAAATATGGTCGTTTATGCGCCAAATATGGTCGTTTATGCTTCAAATCAGTATCGAATATGTCCAAAAGATCTGAATAATATTTGCCGGTCATCGTTTTATCCTTTTCAAGGTAATCACTGTGAATGACACCTTGTGAATCCCAAAAAACTATGGCCATGACCTTGGCCTTCTTTGGTCTCTGATGTGGTATGATGAATTCATGTTCGTCTAGGCCAGTCTAGGGTAACGAAACGAGCAAAAACTCTTTCGAATTGCGGCTGAACATCGTCAAACACTCCTTTGAAGTGGTCACACGGTTGCGCTTATGGTCGAGTGTGAGCAATCGCGGCACCCATCTCGCGGATAGCTTTCTCATGTCTAAATATCCATGTAAAATGTGATGTACCGGCTCAGTTGAGATGCCTACAGCCTCAGCCACCTCACCCAATTTCATTATCCGAACGTTCCATGGATTTTATCGACGATTCCTGGCGTGACGACCTCTCTTGGGTGACCTGAACGTTCGGTGTTACTTGTGCCGGTTCAAACACAACGGAACTCGGTAAACCACTGAACCATTGAAATTGATTGGTACAGAATCCCTATATTTTATCAAGCCTTTTCTTGGTTTCAGTGAAAGGTTTTTTACGCAAAAAATTATGCTTAATCAGCATACTACGATATTCACTTTTTTCCATTTTCTTTAAAATTCACGAAGTTGTCTGCTTTCAATGGGTGTCAAAACAAACTAAATGGCGCAGCTTGTTCAAAATTGTAATTGTAAAATGGCAATGAAAACAACCCCCACTGCTGCAATGGAAGCACTAATAGGACTTCCACCTCTTCACTATGTGATACAAGGGGAGGCAAGATTAGGTGCTTAGAGATTAGGGAATACACTGGGAAATCTTGACATTAGGCCAGATCATGAGTATCTCAAGGTTAGTGACAGGAGACGTGCTAAACATGAGATCGGACCACATACTCAAGAGGTACTCTTTTAATACTCCCTTTGAGGTTTTAATACAGGAAAGAGCGGAGATCACCATAAGGGAACCCAATGCCCAACGAAAGGAACAAACCTGGTATACAGACGGATCTAAGACTGCGGAAGGCACTGGGGCAGGAGTATTCTCCAAAAACCCTGATACTAACTATAGCTATGCTATAGGAATACATTCCTCGGTATTTCAGGCTAAGGTATACGCAATTTTGCAATGTGCAAAAACGAACAATGAAAGAGCTGTCGAAAATCAGCATATTCAAATAATGTCAGACAGCCAAGTGGCACTTAAGGCCATATCGAGTCAAAAAGTTACGTCGAGGCTGGTATGGGCATGCATCGAAGAACTAAGAACACTGGCAGACCGAAATAGAGTAAAACTATTTTGGGTGCCAGGTCACAAAGGGATCGAAGGCAACGAAAAGGCTGACGAACTTGCAAAAAGAGGGTCAGAAGAAACACTGGAACCAGACATAAACCCAGGAGTACCAAAAAGTACAGTCCGGGGTTTTATATATGACTGGATTCGCGAACAACATATCAACTATTGGGGAAGCACCCTTAAACAGGCACATGGAAAAGCTTTCATAGGCAGAC